ACAGGATATGTTTAGACTTCTAACAGAGATTGGAGGAAAAAAGGACAGGGGAATTAAAGAAGGCCTCCAAAGGGGGCCTGTTAGTGAACTGAGTTAAACCTAAGTAAAACCCACAAGGCTGCTCAAAATGGTTCAATTCCAGCATGAACATAACTTCTTCACCATGTAGACTGGTAGTTTTCACTAATCACAAAAGAACGGGTGTAACTTGCTTAATTTTCAATGTGTGTAGTGCTTTTTCTTATCCTAGAGGACAACCTGTAATTTGTAAGCTGCATTTGAGATACAGATGCAAAGAATACTTTTGTTACGTATTAGGATCCTGTCAGTATTTTATTGGCACAGAGAACCACATGTTGGAGTTACTGTCCCTTAGAGAATGGTTCAGTTGAGATAAAAGATAATTTTTTTGTGCTAAGCAAGATAAAAAGCGATTAATTGTTGTCTTGTTATTTGTAAATAACGAAACATGGTTGATTTACTTAACTTTTCCTGTGAGTAGTATGAAATTATGTATCACTTCGTGGACTTGAAAAGTCATTTGAGAAACTGTCTTAGAAGTGTCTTGATAGAGTGTCTTAGGAAGGTAAGACAGCTATCACAAATCACCACAGACTAAGTGGTTTAAACAACAAAGTTATTTTTTGCCATTCTGCTGGCCCACAGTCTGAGTTAAAGGTATCAGCATGATTTAGTTTTCCTTAGGGCTCTTTTGCAGGTTGAAAATAGCTAAATTCTCCCAGTAGCCACAAACTAGTTCTGCAGCCTCCTTATAAGTAGGGACACTAATCTCATTCCTGAGGCTTCCAAACTCAGGAGCTAATTAACTCACCTCCACGTACCACCATATCAGGAATTAAAGGTTAATATGTACATTCCAGAGAGCTCTCATTTTATTCTGCTCCCTTAGCATGATAAGGCTAATAGAAAAAGTAGTCCTGCTGTTTCTCTCTTGTCTCATCATCACTAGAATGACTGTGGTTAAACCAATCTAATAAATGGATAATTTTTTTGAAAGCAAACAACTTTGACTCCCGTGTAGCTTAGTGCTAGAATATTTGCACAGCATATATGAGGTCCTGGGTTCCATTCTCAGTACAAACCACCAAACCAAAATCTATCCAACAAAAACAAAATAAAACAAACAAAAACAAAAACCCAAACAAAAACAAACACAGCAAGTGAAAGAAGGATAGAAAAAAGAAACAATGACCTTATTGATCAGTTTCTGCCATATTTCATAAAAAAATATGTGCTTGCTACAGCCTAGAACTGTGGGTTTATTTTGGAAACCTCTCAGTGAATAGGTTTGATATCTTTTGCAAATATATTTGTTAATAAGAAGTATGTGTATTCAGCCACAATTTTGATGTTTAATTCCTAGTTTCAATCATAAATTGCATGAAACTAGTTGTTATTTTAGAGAAGGTAAAAGTACATTAAAAGTATAACAAGAATTTGAGGATGTAGTTAAGTGTCAGAAAACTAACCAAGATGTATGAGGTCCTGGATTCAAATGAAATCACTTCACACAAAGAAAGTTACAAGTATGCTTTCTGCTGCAAATTAAACATTTAAATTTCCTGTTCTCTAAGATTTACCATCTCCATAAGAAATGCACACCTACTCCAAAATTTCCAGAAGTGTAGTTTTCTGTATTAGGGAAACACCCCTGGTTGACCTTCAGAGCATGGTGGCAGCTTGCTTAATGAAGACAGCATCGCCATTGAAACGCAGCTCCAGTGCTTTTCAGTGCTTGGCAGCCACATGGCATTAAACAAATAATGTGTTTTTCTAAGTTCTTCTGTGTCCAACACTTGACAAATGAGGAAAAGAAGTCGAAATCATCTTTGAGTTCCCTGATGGTTCTTATATTGTTAATCCTGTTGTAAGTCACTCCCAACTACAAAAATTACATATGGTTCCATGCTGCTGTTTATTTTGAGCTTTTAATTTTATTGTTGCCCTTGTTTTTCTCAGTGTGTTTCTCAATTGTCACTTTGCTTGACAGCAGTCCCTTCCTCTGTCTTTTGTAATGTTACATAACCTCTAGCAGTTTAACTGAGTCAAGTAGATGCGACCTCCTTTATCCTAGAGATTTGGTTGTGAAATTTATGACTAGAAACTTGAGCTACCAAAGTTTCATAAAATTCCTTTTTCCCTTTATAGTTAGCATTTTAGTTACTTTGGAATTTTGCTAATGATTTGGACTTTATCTGCACTGGAGGTTTAGAGCACTGTCTAAATAAGTAAAATAAAAAAAAAATAAAATGAAATGAAAGAAGAATTTGTATTTGTATTCACACTGGGACTCTGCTGATGTGTCCTAGCAGGAAACATGCTATTGAAAGGTCCTACCAAACAGTTACTCCCAGGGACCTGTGTGTGATCTCAGCCTAGTGAGTTGTCCATGGAGAAAAACTCTCAGCTCAGCAGAACTGGCCATATGATGTGCTGTCCCTGTCATCTAAGAAAGTCCATATTAAATGGACTCACAGACCATACTATTCTTTACCATTTCAAGGAAGCTTCTATGGATTACAGATAGGTGCATGTTACCCGGTTCTATCAGCCATGAATGATAACTTGTTTTGAAAACTTTGAGTAACTTTAAAAGAGAGCATTAAAATGGGGGTATAATAAGATAACAAGAAAATTGAAAACAGGAAAACTTACAAGTATTCTCATACTGTAGAGCTGAATTGACCAATCCATTGTGAAATGACCCAGTAAATGGGGGAAAAGGATCAGCAAAGTATTTAAGGACTGGCTTGTTTTACTTTAGAAAATGTGAGTTCCTTACTAAAGTAGAACACAAGAGGTCAGTTTCAACACCTGAACAGGGTGAAAGCAGGTTCTCACAGGATACAGGTTGATGGGCTGGGGATTTCGCTCAGTGGCACAAGTGCCTGCCTGGCAAACGTGAGGCCATGAGTTCAATTTTGGGTACCAAAAAAAAAAAAAAAAATACACGTTGATTTGTCTCATAGGCACTTGATGCATGTCAAATGACAAAAACAGGGTAATTTTTATATCAAGGAATACACTTTAAAAGGAAATACACATCCCTGGTGTTCAGGTGGACATCCTTACTTATTACAATTTTATTGAGAAATACAATTTTATTGAGAAATACAATTCATTGAGAAATATATGTTAACATAGAACACAAGAGGAAAAATTAGCTCTCCCAAGAACCTTCCTTCCCAATTTGTAAAGGATTCAAAATTACTATTTGGCTCAGCCCCAATCCTTTAGTACTAGACCATGATGATGCTTGTGACCTCATACAATCACAGTGTTATCACAGAGGAGAGAAAAACTGATTCTAACATGTATGGCATCCTAGCTAAAGTGGTACAGTTAGTAATAACAATAGTTTTAAGTACAGCTTAGCTACTGACAAACTATGGTAACCATTAACCTGCTACCTCTGTCCACAGGAATAAACGTTACATTTTGTTCTTCCTGTAAGAAGCTGAAGGAGTCATAAGATCCAAAATGAACAACGGATATTGTGAAATAAGAGGAAACTGCTCCAAAGGAAAGAGAAACTGGGATGGGAGAAAGGAGAAAAACGGAAGGGAAAAGGAAAAAACATATATATATATATATATATATATATTTACATATATAATATTTAAGATAGTTATACAAGTATAACTTTTTTATTAGTTCATTGAAAAGGTTTGTGCTTATACTGTTTGATCGATTTTTCATGTCTACATCTTATAATATGAGCAACTACTTTGAAGATAATATGCAATGTACTAATCACTGTTATTCTCAAAAATTTTGTTGTAAAATTTTGTACCATTGCTTTTCTTTAAAATAAAAAAAATTAAAATTAGACCACTGTGCATTACTTGGTTACTTTATTTCCCCAAAGTAACAATATTAAAGCCTAGATTACTATGATGAACTTATATAATCTCCATTCTGAATTTTAAATGAATTAATATGAACTTTTTCAAGACATACAAGAGCCTTTGAAACAAAATAATTTAAAATAATTGATGAAATAGTAAGATTTCCTGTCATCTTTGAAAAAATTAGGGTATACTTTTTTATTGGTTTGTTTCTTTTAGCTTAAAATAGTAACAATTATTACAAGTACATAAAGTTTGTGATTTTAATTTGATAACCATCTGTGGAATTCCGCCTCTTAGAACTGTTTTTGTGGAGGATTTTTTTGGTATGTTTTATTTTGTCTTTTGTTCTTTCCTTCATTTTCCTTTCTTTTATTTTTAAGTGCAAGAGAAATTCTGGATAACTTCTCACTAAGGCTTCAACTCCAAATTTAATGAAGTTGCTGAACTTTTAACCTTTGATCCCAGCACACTTTAAAACTTGTCTACTGTACTATTTTTTCCTTTTTCTGTGCTTCTGTCAGGTATACTAACAACAAGCTTTTGAATGCACAGGGTTTTATTTATCCACGCTTTACCACAGCAAATGGAAGGGATTTAACACTTTTACTGGTCTTTTTCAGAACCGTGGAAGAATAAACCGCGCTGGAGCTCCAAGGCCCTCCATTCCCTGCCCTATTCCTCCATTGGTAATTAAATGCAGAGAAAGACCCATCATCCTGGCTTCCGGTGCAAAGTCCTTTATGAATCTTGAGGCATCAGCCTTCCCAACAGAAACGACTGTTTTTACCAGTGCATCTTCTGTCTTCCAAACTCTTCCTGTGCTTTCAGCAGGGCGCTCTGCCTGCCAGGCGGCACAAGCGGCATTTCCCAGAGTCACAGAGCCTAACAAACAGTGGAGCAGTGTCCATAGGGATCCAAAGGGAGGAGCACATTTTATAATGTAGAATTTATACTGATTCTCCTCTCTCTGCGCCATTAAACATCTATAAAGCTCGCTCCAATCTTTGTTTTGCTATGGGAAAAAAAAAAAAAAAAATCCAGGCATTTCCCTGTTTTATTTGTTGAAAGAATCGTTTGATAAGCACTGAACACTAGAGGGGGAGCTAACCCGCTCTGCAGAGGGAAGGCTTGCCGCCCTGGGCTGGAGGATCACACCGATGCTGGGGAAGCCTGGCTGAGACTGGTCGGCCATGGATCTGAAGTCCAAAGGAGAGGGGCGGCAGGTACTGTTCGTTGTCATTTTCCAGAAACGCAAGAAATCCTACATAGTGGATTTGAGAAGTTTAGCTGCTGGTCCTGTCCTGACATGGAATATTTTTAAATCCTCTCTTTCTAGGCAGTTTTAACATAAGGAATAGGATTACAAAGACCCCCTCCCCCTATGAGGACTGTCTCTCATTTAAATGTCTAAGGAATGATGGAATGAATTATCATAAAATTTTGACAAATTTGATGGCTCAAGCAAAAGGAGGAAACAGGCATCCCAATTATTAACTTCTAATAAGACATGACATTTAAAATGAGTTTACATGGCAGTTAGACCTTTGTCCTCCTTCCCCTATTTAAAAATACTGGTATCTTTTTCTTAGGAAAGGAAATTACTTATTTCAGTTTCTCTTCTCTTGAGTTTAAAGATAATGCATCCTATTTTACCCACTACCTATTACCTTTCCTTATAATCGTGATCTAAAAACTTTCTATAATTTTCCTAAATTTGAGAGAACTTAAAATACACCTTGAAATCTAGCAACATATTTTAATAGAAATATTTACTATAATTTCTCTAAGAAAAATGTAAGTTGATCTTTTTCTGTAACAACTTACAAGACAGGAGATAAGATACATTGATTTAAAAGGAAAAAATACTTTCAAAAAAGAAAAAGTTAATAGTAAAAATAGATTTTAAAAAGTATGAAAACCAAAACTGTTTTTCTCTGATACCATAAAGTATGACTTTTTTAACCAAGCAAATATCAAATTCTCTTTGAAAGAAACAATCTCACTAACCCACAGTAGCAACTTTTACTTGTGTGTGTGTGTGTGTGTGTGTGTGTGTGTGTGTGTGCTATTTACTGAAAAGATTTTTTGATCCCATCACAAATAATTGTGATCTTTGGAAATAGCCTCAACTTTTAGTTTAAAACTGAAATAGTTCACAGCAGTTTTCAATTATGTTCTTTTAGGTGCTATTAAAAATACTGATGATTCTGTTAAAAAAAGAATTTAAGAACTGTCTTTAGAATGATTCTAACTTTGTTGGAAGTCACCAGCTGAAAACATAGGGGAAGGAAGGCATTTGATTTTTGAAAACTACATTGTCTGTTAACTGAAAAACACTGATTTTTCTTAAAATTAGTTTATGTAAACAGAAGAAAGTGGTTTTGAGTTTTTCCCAGCAATAAATAAAACTGTGGGTTCATTTTGACTTTCCAGGGGATTTCCTAGAACTGTGGTGACTGCATCTCTACATTTCTCTTCTGATCCCTGCAGTTCTTTCCCTCAAGGTTTGTTCAAGGCTTTCCGTTATCTCCCAGGAACTTGAATAGTAACACTTCTTTAAACATAGCTTTCATTCCCATCACTAGCAGGAGTTTGAATAAAATTCATTAGTTCTAAGATTCTGTAGTGCTATAGTATGGAAGTCAATAGTTGGCTGCTGATGGGGCATGTAATGTGTCCAGGAATTCTGCCCATAGGAGACTGGCTAATTGTGAACCCCAGGTGACTTATTTCTGTTAGTATCTAATTTTCCTGGATTGCATATTTTTCCTCTGAGTCTAACTTTATATGTAGTAAGGTAAATACTCATTTTAATCCCCATTTTAAGAATTTGATAAAAATGAGAATAAAAACGGAGATGTCCATAATACTTGCTTTCAATTTGTACTATCATTGTATATTTACTAAGTTTCTCCTACACAATTTATTTCATCGCTATTGTGGAGACAAAGCTATTACAGTAAAATCAACATTGTAGTCAGTCGTTTACAAGGAGACCAAGACAATACAGCAAACATAATTTATAGTATTATTTATGATAGTACCCCAAGAGTTAAATACAAAATGTGTAGGAAATCTGTCTACACACTAACAACCTAGAGACACCAGCTAAGGGCTTGGATCCCACAACAATGTCCTGCATGAGTCCAGCTGAAGACCTAGAATCTATGACAATGCCCCCAACAAGTCCAACTGTAGGCCTAGAGCCCACCACAATGACTCAGACAAGTCTGTTTCATAGATCTGTGCTGGGAAAATACAAAGGTCTGGTAGAAGCTAGAAATTCTATGCCAGTGGCGTGAAGGAGATGTGCCACTGGAGTCAAGAACTACACTCAAAATAAGAATGAGAGCTACCCCAAAAAGTACCACAGCCATCCTCAGTGACAGTGAGGTCCTGAGCTCCTCCAACAATAAGAATAGCCATGAGTTCATTTCAAGAAGTCAGTGTGACAAGCTTCTCCTGGAGACTGAGCAGAGCACCATCTTCCCCTACAGAGCCAGGAAGCGATGCTCCAGGTATCCCCCAAAGTGAACTGCAGCCATCCTCAGCTCCTCTGATGATACCAGCCAAATTCCTATCAGGGAAGCCAGCAAGAAAAGATCCTCCAGGAGAACGAATGCCTCCAAATAATAGCAACACTTAGGAGAATCCACAATGCTACTCTTCCTCTGCATTAGTCTTTTATGTTAGTAATGATCCTCAGGTGGGCTCCCCACTCAGCTCCTCCCTGATTCAGTTCAGCTGGTGTTAAGTTGGACACCAGTTTTCAATCCACCACAAACATTAAGTGTTTAAATATCATTTGAGACATAAAATAAATGTAGGATATTAAAATAGGAAAGGACAAGATAAGTAGGGTGCTTGATCATAGAAATAATTTAACAGAAAATTAGCTAAGGGAATATTATGTTCACTTGACTGGGAAAATTCAGTAAACTTTCATAAACTTTTTTTTTTTTTTTATTTAAGAACTCTATGGAAGTGATTGTGTTTGCTAATGGCTACAAGTACAGAACGGGAATTTACGTCCTCAACACTCAGACTTCAAGATTTTTAGAGCATTACTCAAAACATTTCATGAAGATGATCTATTGTCCTGTGCTGGTGAGCTCACTGGTGATACATTTCACTTTGAAACATACCTAGTACTGGTAGTGAAGGAAGTTGAGGGGATAGTGAGAGTGAATATCTTTGTGAAGGAAAAAAGATTTAAAAAAGGAATCACTACAGATGTGAAATCGAATGATGAATTTATTTTTAGTACATCTCATCACCCTCTACTTCAAATTATGTTAGGAAACATACTTGACACAGTAGAAATCTATATATTTTATCAGTTGTTCTCACAGATGTTGATAAATTCTTAAGTTGATTCATTTGTTCAGTAAATAAATATTGAACACCTACTATGTTCCAACAAGTGAAAGTGGTAGCCTTAGATTAGATGTGGCAGAAAAAAGGAGGGATCAAGGCAATAAGCAATGAATTACATGTATCAAATCAGTTCAATACTACACTGAACTTAGTTCCATATAACAACCTACCTCAAACCCCAATCTAAGGAAAAAATGCTATAAGGAAGAACAAAGGATAAATATAATATTATTCATCTAAATGTGTTCCATAATCTTAAAATATTAGGATTGTTTGAAATGTGTTCACTGGCTCATTTTAATTAGAATATACTTTCATGACCTTTTAATTCTTACTGGTACTTCCAGTAAGAATTAAATTTAGAGCAAACGGCTATATTGTATATAAAGTAAATATAACATAAGTATTCTAAATATTAATAGTGGATTGCTTAGAATAAAAAGCACTTGCCAAGTCATGAATTCCAGAAAAATCAATAGCCTATCATCTATTTTGCAATTATTACATGATGGTAGTATGAACAAAAACAAATAGCCTATGGATAAATATTAAAATTTTAACAAGCATATGTTCATATAATTATGTTACATAACTATACATAGTAATGTAATCATTAATCTTTTAATTTAATTCTACTTGTCTGTTGACTCATTCAGTAAAGTATCGTTTTATGAAATACAAACATTTTTGCAAATTTTGTAATAAAAAATTTTAAAAGCCAAGAATATAAATTGGCTTATATAATCCCCACTCCTAGTTTATTCTAGCTTTTAAACTAGAATAGTTGCAAATATTTTCTGTACTTTGTTGCAGAAAGAAAAAAATGAGAGAAGACAGAAAGAGAGAAAGAGTGAAAAAGAGAAAGAATTTATTGTGCACTAAATAATGCATCTGGATTCAGAACAACTGACCTAAAGAAAATGAGGGAATATTCAGGCAATAATGAAAGTAGATTTTCCCTAAAATATCTGAACTCAAACTTTACAATTGGACAACAGTATATCCCTGATTCCTTTAGAAGAATGAGAAACAGAATCCTCTGATTTGTCTATTTCTGTTTTTATTTTTCATAATAATCATTCCCAGTGGGTTAGGGAAAATGTGGGAGGTGGAGCCAGGTCTTAGGGCAAGACAGGGAGTGTGAAATTTTGTTAACTTCTTGTTCTTGACTTAGATGTCTAACACTGACTTTTATGATTGAGAAAATTTTTTCAGTGCCTTGAAATCACAACAAAATTAGTATTCATTATGCATGTTTTTTCCACTCTCATTTATCAAGGAATCAAGATGAATATTAGGGAAGAAAAACATACCATAGATTTGCCAGTTAACATCATTGCTTTAGTACCCTGAAACAAAATTCCATCTAAAGATGTAATTGCTAAGAAATCTATGAAACAGGATCAAATGTTTCTACGGGGCTGATAAAAACAGAGGTGACTGAGACCACTAATGTGCAAAATAGGTTAAGTAAAACTTGTGTTAAGGAAGAATGATCATTTGTACAGTTATTGATCCAAATTCTGTATTACTCCAAGAAAATTCCTGGTAGGTTGAACACCATGTCAGGATTTTTTCAGAACACTTCACAAAGCTCTCTTTCTTGGTCTTATTAATAACAGTGAGACAGGCTAAGTCGAGTTCATCAGATGCATGGTCCCTGAAATAATGGGGCTTTAGGAGCTTAGATGCTTTACACAACATCATCACATAGTACTTAAGAAGGATCTTGTATTTCAAATATGATGCAAAGGGATAGCAGTATCAAAAAGTGATATTAGTGACATATTAATATGCAATTGTTTGTTTCTTTTAAAATATTATTACCAAAGACAAGAAAATCCCAGAGCAATGAAAAGTGAAATGAAAATTACGAAAGTGAGGCAGTGAATAAGATGCTGTGTTTAACTGTTGAAAACAACAATCCAGTCTACTTCATTGTAAATGTTACTTCCACGATTGAACTATTTTTTAAATGATAAACATGTTCCAAAACTGTTCTGATTCAGGCCTCTTTGGATGATGAGTGCTGGGTATTTCTATTTCCTCTCATAATGGACCAACGTGTGCTGTCTTCCTTCCCACTGAGCATCCGGGTAGCACTGCTTGCTAGTAACCCACTGAGAGTTATTACTAAGGACTTCCCATTATCCTTAACTCATCACAATGAACTTGCTTGATTAAATGAGAAAACAAGTTTTATGAAACTTGAAACTCTTTACTGAAATTGATAAAGGAACCAACGTACCTAGCAAAAGACCCAGTCAAATCAGTGGCTTGCAATGTGTTAAATGTGTTTATTTGTACTTTCAAAGTTCAGGTTTCCTCATACATTTTCATACTGATGGAGATAAAATGCTAAAGTCTTAAATCCCTCTATGCCATGCTGAGTTGCTAAGGGCTGTTGAGTTTTTGTTATTTCTCCTCTCGAGTTAGCTCTGATTACGCCTGCTGAGTGAAAAATTTGTATTTGCCGACAGAAATAGGAACCACCCCACGTGCGCTTGCACTCAGCAAATGCTCCAATACATCACAAAGATTTGCTCAACCCACCTTCAGAGGCCAAATCGAGCATGTTATTTTCTGTTTAGATCTGATTCTGGAGCCTATCAGTCAGGAGTGTTTTCCAATCTCTGATTAAAGCAGGGCCTACAAAGCTGGAAGTGTTCACACACAGTCTCATTAGAGCGCTGGATAGAGTGACCCAAGCCTTCTAGCACAAAGCTCTGAGTGAACTTCAAATATGAGAGTGCATCAATCAAATCCAAGCAAGGCTTTTATGTCATTTTTCTACTTTGCCTTTAAAGTCCTATAGGAATGCCCTTTCCAGCTGTACAGCCAAAATGCATTCAATAGAAACAAAAAAGCAAAGACCACACCAACCCCCTGTCCCTTCCAAATGGGAATGATTTTACCTCCCCCACTAAGCATGAGGGAGTCTTCTGTGTGTTTTAAATTATTTAGCATGTTTGACAATGCGATGGAGTATATATTTGCACCACTCAGTGGCTCTGTATTAATTACGAGTGCCCATAACGGAGACCAATAAGGTCAAAGGCAACGAGGCTGCATATTGTATGTTTTAAATAGCGGTGGGGAGAGATTGGAGGAAAATACAGCAATGCTCATGGAGATTTTTCAGACCTGGTCTTTAGCCCTCAATTCCAACCTTAATTCTCCATTGTCTATATTTGCTTCTGCTGTTAAGAAAACAAACAAACAAAAGAATAAAGAAACACAATTTTGGCAAGAAGGACAACAAGGCATAAGTCTGAGGAAAAAGCTTCAGGCATTTGGTTAATGTCTGCCCTGTATACTGCTCAGGGCACTAGAGCCGTTTTCAGAAGTACATCTTCAAAAGACAAGCTTGATGCAAAACAATAGAAATTTTCCCATTAGTATCATTAGAGAAAAATACACCAGCGCAGTTAACAACGACTATGAAATTTAGGTACTTTCCTTTCAAACGGAGGGCCAAAACATTCTCCAGCACAGCTAATGTCAGCACGAATTTAGTAAAATGAGTTATTGTATCTTGAAAATGAAAATAATTTGAAAGAAGAAAATAAATCCTCACTGTAGTATAGATACAATTTCCTGAACTTTGCACCTCTTTTTAACAAGTTCATATCTCAGCTCTTGAAGGTAACTCAAGTGTATCCAAAAGAAAAGTAATGTACCAAAAACAAATTTCACATCACACCATTGGGAAGGTACATTATATTTTTCCGGGGAAATTCCCGGTGTGTGCACATTGGATCCCATCTCCAGTATTTCTAAGCAAATGCTAAACACTAGTAACATGTTACCTGCTCAAACATATTGCAGTAAGTAAAAGAGTGTTTGAATGTAGGGCAATAGATATTTGTTAAATGTAGCATGTGTTTCTTTGTAGTGCTTAAGATATTTGGAAGAATAAGGCAGATTTTGTACAAGAGAACTAGAGTACTATGCCGCTTGATGGTGCCTCCTCTGTGCTTCCCCTGCCCTGTCTGATGGGCATCTGTGTAAATTTTTTAAAATTAGATTATTACATAAAACTTGGTGCACTCTCTGATAACAACTTCTGTTCATTTCAGCACCAACCCCCTCTGGAGCCCATGTTCATCTTCCAGTCTGGTCAAACTTCTTTCTTTTTAGATTTCTAAACTGAAATCATGCTTTATTTTTGCTTCTCTAGATTGTGTTTCTGTGGCAATAAACAGGAAAATGGTTAGTATTAGTTTAAAATGGTCACCCAAGTATTTCACATATTTTAATGCAGTTTTCCAGCCAGAATATTTTCTAGTGAATTTTGAAGATTATTTTAAGAATGGTCTTTTTGTTTTCAAGTCAACATTCTTAGCAGCAAATACACAGAGTAATGAAGTTTTTACAATCAGTGGTTTTCTCTTTAAGGTAATCTTGCCTTCATTTATAATGTTTACGTCAATGTAGGACTAAAACTCTTACTGCAATTGTATAATTAACAAAATAAAGCACACTATGAAATCAGTTTGTTTGTATTTGTTTAGAATAAATATCAAAATCTTATATTTCAAACTGTATTTTCCCTTTTACCTCAGTATTTCTCCTTTAAAGGAGAGAATATGATTTTTTTTAAAAATAGAGTTCAAGACTGAGGAATACTAAAAATTTTTAGAAGTAATGTAGATCACCATTTTAAAGGGATAGGTTCTTACCCTATGAACACAAGATGTGTAAATTGGCAAGTTAGTTTTACAAATTTC